AAGAAGAATAAGAAATACACAGGAGGAAAGTGTATTCCAAAAAATCCAGAATATGGATATTGTTGTTGCACCTTTTAAATAAAGTTGTTTTATTATCACGTTATTATCATGTTTTTGTAAACGTATTTCCTTATTTTTATTTATCAACTATAATGGATAATTAGATTTTGATCCGCGCTTTAAATACATGAAACAATTTCTTGGTCAAAATTTTATATACTCGCCTTTTCTATTTATTTAAAGCAAGCATTAGTAAAATCTTTAATCTAAAGTCCAAACCGACTACCAAAAAACCCGATATGTTTCCAGTCCAAAATATAAGAAATACCAAAAATGAATCTTGTAGAGTGGTACAAAACATATCTGAAACTGAATTGTTATTAGCAAACCAAAACAGATAACCTGACCCCCCCCCCCACCACAAAAATCCTAAAAATCTATCGGAATGTCCAAATTAATAACAAATATAAATATATAGTTCAAATATTCAATTTTATATTTATTTTGAAATGATATCTAATAATAATTATTTAAATTTTAAATAAGTACTTTTAATATCCAAGTATCTTCATGATCCAAATTTTAAATTTTGGATTTAATTTTAGATATATCCGAATTGGACTAATATATCCAAATTCTAACGATATATGGTTATTATATAGATTTTATGATGTGATACAAATTAGAATCAAAATCGTTGAGTTATAAATTCATAAGCTTCCAAAAATTAATTAGTTACTTATGTATGTAATTTAGAATCACACAGTTTAGTTTTTATTTTTTTCTTTCTAAGCACCAAAAATCTTAAGTTATACATAATCTTACTAAATTTGACCAAAAAAAAATACATAATCTTATTAAATATACTTATATTTCTAAGATAACAACCGTCATAAATGTAAATAAGACAATTAATCAAAAATTTAATATATTTAGAATAAAAAAAATTATAGTTGAATTCAGAGAAATAGATAGAAGCTGATATATCTATATGATAACTAAATCAACCGTAAAAATAATAAAACTGGCGAAATATAATATATCTAAAATTATATATATATATATATATATATATATATAATTAAATTAATATAAATTATACCTGCAAATTATAAACTAATTTAAAATTTAAATTATTATAATATATATTTTATTTTTCGAATTCAGCTATAATAATTTTTATTGTAAATATAATAAAACTTTGATTAATTTTCTTATTTTCATTTCAGTTGGTTATTGTCTTAGATCTGTAAATATATTATAATTAAATTATATATAACTTAATATATATATATATATATATATTGTGCTTAAACTAAAATAAATAATAAGCTGAGGTGTTTGATTCAAAATTACATAAATGAATATAATGATAATATTTTGAAGTCTCATGCATATATATAAATTCTACAAAAGAATAAAATGTAATTAGTTAATATTTTCTTTTTCTTTTTAATATGCTTTGAGTCAACCTCTAATTTATATGTATAAAATTAAATATATTATTATTACTATAAAATTATATGTTCTTATTGTAGTTAGATGTTTAATTTTGGATATAAATTAGATTAGTCGAGTCATTCGTGTTGTGAGTATATTGAGTTAAAATTGAAGTATAATTACTTTTTATTTTAGTTAAGTCCAATAAAATTAGTTATATTTATCGCTTAAATACACATGTATTTTCATAAGATTTATTTATTTCTTATTTTAGTTAAGTCAAATCAAATTAATTTTATTTATCGTTTAAATATACAAGTATTTTCATAATATTTATCAAATTATATGTTGATTTCTAAAATATTAGAAAATAAAGTGTAACTGAAAAATTTTGGATGTTCATGAACATATATATTTTTATTATTTTGAAAATATATTATATGTTATTATAAAATATATATTAATGGGGTATATTACTATTTTGTGAATATTCCTTTTTAATAAAGTCATATTATATATATATATATATATATATATTTTCGTTTTTAAATCTGTTTTAAAATTTTAGAAATATTTTCTTTTTATTATATATGTTATTTGGAAAAAGTTAAAAAAAAACTAAATAAAAAAAATTAATAGTAAACTTAAAATCTAACAATTCATTAAGGGTATCTATGTAATCAACCATCGCAAAAGTTAACGTGAGCGCGACACGTAGGAAACTGATTTCTCAAATAATATTATAGAGATTTTTTCTTTAAGGAATCCCGTTGCGGATGCTTTAATACCCTTAAATTATAGATAGTTTCCAAAAAGTTATTTGAGATCAATTTTTTAAACGATTCAGGTTAGTAATTACCTTATTGGGCTTTAAGCTGGGCCCGAAAAACCCATTATCATAACTAGTCAGTGATTGAATCTAAGCGTAACAGTCGCGTGAGATTAGTATTTGCCTTTTCAGTCACAGAAAAATCGTCCTACTCCTATATATGGTCACTAGCTTCGTACAGCCCTTTCTTTACTCCATCCCTTCACATAGCGTTCAACTTCTGTTTTCTCTCTCCTCTCTTATTTCCTTTCCTTTTTTTTTTCTTTCTTTTTTTTTGTCCTTTTTTTCCCCTTTTTTTTTCTTCTTCATAGTTGATTTCGAACCCTAAGCTAAAAAGGGGAAAGAGGGTCTTTTCTCGGGAAACAAAACAGATATTTTCTTCTCATCGCCACAGTGAGAAAAAAGATGCAGAATCCGAGGCTGAAACAACAACAGCAACAACAAGCAATGATGCAGCAAGCTTTGATGCAACAACACCACTCTCTCTATCATCCTAGTCTTATGGCTCCTCCTCCTCCACCTCAGGTTCTTTGATTCTTAACTTTCCAAAATTAGGGTTTCCTCTGAAAAATCCCGATTCGCCCTCTCCCGCTTTATTGCGCTTAATACCATGTAAAGTTTCGAGCTTTCGATCATGGGTTAGGGTTTCGAGCTAGTGATTCGGTTTAATTTTGATGGGTATTTGATTAATCTTTGCTTTTTGAGCTTTTGATCATGGGTTAGGATTTCGAGCTAATGATTTAGTTTAATTTTGATGGGTGTTTTCTGTAATTTGATGGGTCTTTGATTAATTTCGTTTTCGAGTAGAAAAGATGTGTTTTTTGAGCTTTGGCATTTGTTTTGTGTGTGTAGATGGAGCCTCTGCCAAGTGGAAACCTTCCTCCAGGTTTTGATCCCACTACTTGCCGTAGTGTGTGAGTATTTCAGTTTAAATTATGTTCCCTTTCTTTCGATATCTTCTGGTGAATGCTGAGTTTTGGTTTTTTTGTAGGTATGCTGGCAACATCCATACACAGGTCACTGAGGTTCTTCTTCAAGAGATTTTTGCTAGCACCGGCCCTGTTGAGAGCTGTAAGCTTATCAGAAAGGATAAGGTCGGAGTTTCCAACACCACCCTTTCTTTCTATTTCCCTTGTATTGTGTGACTTGTGTCTCTAAATTAAATATGTTTCAATCTTCACAGTCATCATATGGATTTGTTCACTACTTTGACCGAAGATCTGCTGGTTTGGCTATTATGTCTCTTAACGGAAGGCATCTGTAAGCATCTGGAATTGACACTTCCTGTTTAATCTATTTTATTATGTTCTGTTTGATTGTAATCCTGGGTTTCACAGTTTTGGACAGCCTATCAAAGTTAACTGGGCGTATGCCACTGGTCAAAGGGAAGACACATCAAGTATGTTCTATTTAGGACAGATTTATTGGAAACACAAAGTATTTTATTCTTTTGTTTGCTTGTTCTTTGACAGAGACTTGATGTTAGTTTTGTTTCACATTAAATGCAGGTCATTTCAACATTTTTGTTGGAGATCTGAGTCCAGAGGTTACTGATGCAGCTTTGTTTGAAAGCTTTTCTGGCTTTAACACTTGCTCGTAAGTTCTTTGTACTGATTACAACATTTTACCTATTGGTTAAGCTTGTTGGTTTGGACATTGAATATTTTTTATTCTTATTCTTATGTAGGGATGCAAGAGTAATGTGGGACCAGAAAACTGGACGCTCAAGGGGCTTTGGGTTTGTTTCCTTCCGCAATCAGCAGGTTTTGTTATTCTTCAAATCATGTGTGACTGTTTGCTTTCGCTCCATTCATGTTTTTTATATTGAATTTAACTGTGACATGTAATCTGCAGGATGCTCAAAATGCCATAAACGAAATGAATGGTAAGAATGATATTATATAGCAACTTGTGGTCTCAGAGCTTTGAATGTTCCCTTTTGTAAAAATTTGGTTCATTTTGTTCTGTGTGTTTGCAGCTTATCAGTGACGGATTAGATTTTGTATTTAGAATTGAGTTATATTTATCTTATTATAATCTATGTTTTTTTTACCTGTTTTCAGGTAAATGGTTAAGTAGCAGACAAATCAGATGCAACTGGGCGACAAAAGGTGCTACTTTTGGGGAGGACAAACATAGCTCTGATGGAAAAAGTGTCGTTGAACTCACAAACGGCTCTTCAGGTTTTCTTCTGATTACTTAGCAAACTCTGTTATTTTCATTATTCCCTTAATGATCATAATGATGAATATTATGTTGCTTTAATACTTGAGCAGAGGATGGTAGAGAGATCTCAATCTCAAACGAAGAAGCTCCTGAAAACAATCCTCAATATACCACTGTGTATGTAGGAAACCTCGCTCCTGAAGTAAGTTGTTAAGCTCTTTATAAAAACACTGAGACAGCTCCTGTTTTAGCACACGTTGTGACAGTTGTCAAGTTTTGCAGGTAACTCAGCTTGATCTACACCGCCTGTTCCATACACTTGGCGCTGGAGTGATTGAAGAGGTCCGTGTCCAGTGTGACAAAGGTTTTGGTTTCGTGAGATATAACACTCATGACGAGGCTGCTCTTGCTATTCAGATGGGCAACTCTCAGCCTTTCCTCTTTAATAGACAGATAAAGGTATCAACTCTACTTGTAAGTATGGTTTTACCGGTTAAACCTTAAACCCTTTCCTGTGATATTATTTTTGCAGTGTTCATGGGGAAACAAACCAACTCCGATCGGCACAGCTTCTAACCCGCTTCCACCACCAGTGCCAGTGGCAGTCCCTGGTCTGCCTCCAATGGACCTCTTAGCCTATGAGAGGCAACTGGCTCTAGCCAAGATGCATCCTCAGGCTCAGCATTCTCTAAGGCATGTTAATGCAGCTGGAGCAAGTGCAGCGGCTATGTATGATGGTGGTTTTCAGAATGTAGCTGCGGCGCATCAGCAGCTCATGTACTATCAGTAATAAAGTCTGGTACTCTTGGTGCTAAGATACCTTTTCTCGTTTTTATTTCTTCTTAATTTTATCACTTTCTTGTTTTTTTTTTCGTTTTCTAGACCTTGTTCAGAGTCTCATGTATGTGTCTTTCTCATTTGAAGTTGTTGATTCTATATGTATGCATCTTAGTTTGTAACCTATGGGTCTTTCGCTTGGCTTGTAAACCAAGCAATAAAATAACACGAAATAAAAAGGGAGTTTTGTTTGGGTACCAAATTTGCTGGGTTGTTGACATGTTGTTTGTCTGAGTGGGAGTCAGTAGTAGTGAACTGTATTGTGGTTTTGTAATGGTAAACTTGGTCCAAGTATTTTGTCTTTTACATGGATATAAAAGCTTTTATGATTATAATTGAACTTAAATTTAATGATCTCTCAATTTTATTACAAACAAAAGACTAATTACCTTTTGGAACACTTAAATTTTTATTTGTGTTATAGTTTAATAATTTTATATTAATTTATAATTTAATAATAGATTATTTGTTAAAAGAGACATTATTTAACAGTTATCATCAGTAAACATTTACATAATTACAGGCATATGTTATTAATATTTACACAAAACCCCGTTGAACTTTCTCTCTTTCTCTTCAACGATCTAATGCGTTTATCACAATCCTGTAATTAGTATAAACACCAAGCAGAAAGGGTTATATATATAAGTGAATGAATGAGTAAATTAAGTGATGCAGATAATTTTATTACCATTCATAAGTAGAGAGACTTGAGGCATCAACTTCACCGGCGGATGGGATTTTATCGGCGCTGAATGGTCCAAAATTATCACATGGTGTCCCAGCTGCATATAATGGCGATAATAAAGATAAGATGATCATATTGTAATTATCATTTTACATTTGCAATTTTTTTTGCCTATTATCATTTCAGAAAAGTTTTCCAAAGTTTTTAATTTAAATGTATATCGTGTTCTATATAATAAAAATCTAGTGTAAGACACATGCATGAACTTAACTTTTGTAATTGTTCACATAATGCACACAAAAAGAACATTTATTATATCTTCTTTAATGGATATAATTTATTGCTATTTATCCTCTAATTTAAATTTAATATGTTTAACAAATGTATGCTAAAACTATCATTCTGTAACACCTTGAAACCATGCACAATGCATATATATCTGAATGTAGCACTTATAGTTGTAATATTTTCGTCTAAATGGTAACCCGCGCGATTAGTTCTCAATGATGTTCGTAATTAATCTTGTTTTAGAGGAAGGAGGAGAAATAAATACGGGTTAGAGGCGTTCCCGGGTTGCTACTTGACCCGGTCGGAGAATCCGGAGCACGACCCGGTCCCATCTTCAATTTTCGGAGACCACGGACATTGTTATTCTCCTTGGTAACGACTATGCTTCTCGTGACTTGATTGCTAGAGAGAGGAGGAGATTGGACGGTGGCTAATGAAACATGTTTTCTCAATTTTCCCAGACCATTTTCTGGAGCTGGTCCTGCCACCGTATCATCCCACAGCTTGTGTAAGAACCCCATCCGATCAAAATATTATTCAAAAAAATATTTTGAAATTATTTGGGCTTTATTTTGATCGTCTCTTAACCTTTTTTTTTGTTTCTTCTGCAAGGAAAATGGTTTTATAGAGGTAATGGAGAAAGAGAAGCATTGAATATATTTAGTGAGGTTAATTATTAGCTTTTGCTTAATTAAGGAGGTTTTAATTACAGATTAAGATGTTGACTAATCATTAGTTCTTCCTAATGTTTCTCTAATCTCAGTGTTACTTAAAGGCATGGTGAATTTTCTTATAAGCTGTGTCTCTTTTCAGGTTTATACCAAGACAAGTCTGAATCTTTGTTTCTGATTCTAAGAACACAGGAAGCTTACTCATGTTTCAGACAAAATAACATAACAACAACGACATGATCATATGGTGATCACAGTTCTCTAAACCCCTGCAATAAACTTCTACATTTGCATATCCCACAAGGTACAACAAAGACAACAACAACATGGAACCCTAGGCCAGCAATCTAGATAAGCTGTTTTAATCATATCAAATTACCATTAAACAATTGTGTTCAGTGATATATATGTGTTACTATACATTATACACAGTGCCGTCCGGATACCATTGGCGCCTAAAGCGAATTAAAAAAATGATGCTTTTTACTTTATATTTAATTTATTGTTGCATTTTAAAATATTTAATCTGAATAATACAAAACATATTAAAATTTTTAATTTTTAAACAATAAGGCACATAATGTTTATTTTTCATTTTTTCTTAAAAAATAATTCATCAACTTTCAATATTCAAATATTTTATACCGTTAGTGTTCTATTGATAACATAGTCCAATGTAGATAATTTTTTATAAGTTCCAGTTCCGAAAAAGATAGCAACTGAATAAAATGGCTACTAACATATAATAAACAATATTTCAACTATCTTTGTAGTTATTTAGCCAAAAAAACTATCTTTGTAGTTTTGTTGATTGTTGTAAAGAACTCCAGAGAGTGCACAATCTAAATTATAATAGTTGTTTGTTTGTTTAAAATTTAAGAAGTACGTAAAGATTACATAATCATGAAAAATAGATAAGTTAAGACTTCCACGGTTACACAGTTACATGGAAAATGAAGGAAAAAACAGTAAATAGTGATTTTTTTGTTTAGTATTTATTTTGTACATAATTAAAAGGAAACCAAGATTATTTTAGAAAGCAATCGTATTTTTTAGAAAGCGATGGCATCTCATTTCGCTGTAATCTTTATGAAAGAAAAATTAAAAGGGAAAGGAGGGTGAAAGCTGGGTTCGAAATTCCACTTGAAGGCCAAAGGACAAGTTCAAAAACCACTACGCCATCGTAACCTCTTTGAATCTTTGGGTCTCTAAACTATATAGAAATGTTAGTGTTGAAGCCCATGCTTTATGATATTTAGGTCAAAGCCGGCCCTTGTTATACGTTAGAAGAATTGAGGTTGAAACTTTCTCTCTAACAATAAATTTAAACTCAGGGAGCAGATGTGAGAAAAAACATACAGTTTACTTATATTTGTATGTGTTATTCTTTCTCTATTGCTAAAAATTTAGTAGCATAATTAGATTTTGATATGTGGTTTCAAAGCGTGAAATTTCTATATAAGTTTAAAATAGATTTAAGACATATATTTATTAATCCGTTAAAAAGAAAACTTAAATATGTTCATTAAATATATCAATGTCATTGAGGTGTAAATAACTACAAAATTAAGGGATATTTTTATTTTGTACTCCTTTTTAATAGATTAGATTAGAAACTACTAAAAAAAATTGAAACTAAAAGTTCCTGCTATACCTTTTTCATAACTAAAAAAAATAGAAACTATATTTTTATTTTGTACTCTTCTTTTAATACATCACAATTTTCATATTTAAAGCTGACCTGCTATACCAAAAGTTCCCGCTATACCAAAAGTTAGACTAACAACCAAAAAGTTTTACTGCAAAAAAGAGCCAGTTGGAGAGGTGAGTTGTACTGTTGTAGTCGACGGCAAAATTCGCTAATCAAATTTGCATCGCACAATTTGTTGAATAAGTTTGTTGGCACAAGCCTAGTAGTAAAACAAATGAATCAATATGTAACACAAATCCATAGAGCTTGGGATTGTTAACAAACCATATCGCTTCTCCATTTGCATAAGCAACATACCAATTCTCTGACAGGTTGTGTACATTTTCGTCATACCTTACTCTGCTGCAGGCGGAATCTCTGTCCTAAATACTGCACACTCATTTTCAATGTCCTATAGTTACATACAATACAACAAAATCTTTGAGATCCCAAGTCAAATTTCAGCTCATTTCAATAGTCAAAACTCATCAACATGCTTGCATTTTACACCAATCCGCATACTATTACATGATTCTCAATATATACTCTACAAACATACATCAAACTTCCACAATCCCTCTGTCGATTCAAATGAGGAGAGATAGAACAAACCTAGTGGCAATTTAACCATATATGGCTTATGTGATCTGACTCCAATCTTAAGGAAACGACAATCCTCACATGAGAAATGAAAGATCCAATTAGTCTAGGTACTAAAACCAACTAGACTAATTGGATTTTTCATTTCTCATATGAGGTTTGTCGTATTAGAAATGAAAAATCCTCTATAAATATAAGTCTTCTTTTCAATTATTCCAGGGAATATTTGAATTGAAACAATAATAACTTCTTCATACCTTGTTAAAAACAATTATACCTCAAACAAAGTCGTTACTCCCTTGTATAACAAACTTGATATTTTAATTTTAAGTACATAACAGACCAATTGATAAGTTAATTTTCCAATACAGGTCATTAGTGTATTGATCGAAAATTTGATAAGTTAATTTTTCAATACAGATCATTAGGGTATTGATCGAAGATCATAGGTTATTCATCGAAGTAACAAAGGGTTAAGAATGACTATTGGTTAAACTGCATTAATTTATTGACAATAATAGAAATATTAGAAAAAAATACTTACATAATATTATAAATTTAAAATCATCCTCCACAACTCAAGAAATGATTAGTACTGGGACTATTAATAATTTGTTTTTGTTAAAGTTTATTTCTTCAAAAGAATCAGTTTCAACTTTCAGCATATACTGCACAAAGTCTTCACAACTCCCACTACTTTACTGTTGACATTCACAAGTGGGAGCTCCAAAGTTACCCTGCAAAGAAGATATTTAAATATGAATTCAATTAGTAAATAAATTCATATAAAAGAGATATAAAATACAATTCACATTGTTAATTAGATAATCCATTTGGATAAATCGTCTTTCTTTGGCTTCAGACATCATAAGCTGCAGTTGATAAATCCCAATTATTAATTGATTTCGTGCTATTCTTTCATTAGTTCCCATTTGGGAATAATCGTTGTTGCACTCTCGGCAAATTTCAATTCATTTGGCAAAGAAGTGTCTTTGTTGACAAGAGAGGCACTATCAGCCTGAAGAGAAGCATTTTCCTTTTCCATTAGGGTGAATCTTGTTTTCATATTTTTCATGATTTGAAAGCAAGATTCACCCTCATGGAAAAATGAATTCTTTTTATCTCTTTAACATTTCTACATTTTGTATATTGTGCTTTTTATTAATTAGTTATTTCTTATAAAACATTAAATTAAGTAAACTGTATTTTATCTCTTTAAATTCACATTTTTTTGTAATATAATGGATTAAGAAAACATTTATATCAATATATAATGAGTATTATTTAAATATATTTATTAAATTAGTAGCTAAATAAAGTAAGAGTCCCTTTGCATCTATATTATCAAATACCAAAGTTGCAACTGAAAAACCAAAGGCCTAAGTGATGTTCAAATCAAAATTCAATTTTTTTCACTTATATGTGAGTAGACAATTGTAATAACTTCTAACAACAAAGTAAAAATAATTAGATTTCTCTAATTCAAAAAGAGAAAACCGTTAAAAACTCAGATCTTTCAACAAAACAAAAAAAAAACATGAAATTCCATTTAATATATTTTAACCGTCAGCTTTTAAAAACTGTCTATTTTAAATTTCATCTTTGTTGATCAAGCCATTTAAGATACATAAAAAACAATTGTTAAGTCGATTTAATGTATTGAGGTTAAAATGAACAAATTTTAAAATTTAAAGATTAAAATAGTTTAAAGGAAGATTATTTTAGTTTTTATGTAAGTTAAAGATTTTCATTGACTGTTTTCTCCTAAAAAAAAATAGATAATGTTTTACATTGATTGTCCACATGTTTTAACATCCACATATTTTCTTACCAGGGAGAAACCAAACCATCCAATAAATGAAATTATATACAAATAAGTAGATGTTGTTTTACATTGATTGTCCACATCTTCTACGTCCACATCTTCATTTATCAGAAGATAAGTGGATGACCAAACCATCTATTAAATGAAATTATCTGCAAATTTGTCAGGTCAATTAATTCCCCTAATGTAACGTCTTAACATATTTATTCACTAGATCCATATATATATTCAAGTTGCTATAGTGACCTATATCTACTAGTATGTAGACCATGAATAGTCCAACTAACTCTTATGTTTATCAGCAAAACATAATAATCAAATGTCACAGTATTTGATGGGAGATTTAGAATATTAATGATATACGCTCGATGGTGTATAATGTTGGATTAAGATTTGCAGAGAAATCCACATGAGATTTCAGATTGATTAGAGGAAATGAAGAAAAGTGAGAGTTGTAATTTATTACTGCTTGAAGAGGAGATCTAGATGGATACAACATTGGGATATCCAGACCACAGGCCGGCTAATTTATTACAAAACCAACAATAAAAACATCTTATTTTTCTTGCTTATTCATTATAACAGTAACTTTATTAACTGTCTCTGGCTTTGACCACATATTACAATACAATCTTAGATCAGAAATGAGCTAGCCTTACCAACTTGATAGAGCCATTGTTTATCCATCTCTGATTCCATCTTCTTGATATCGTAAAGACTCTCAATCTTGATCTGCCTCGGCCTCGTGGCAGCCATAGCCTCCTGTATATCAGCTAAGATGAATGGAGTGTCAAGAGGAAGGAAAAGAAGCTCCCTGAGATTGTTAGGCCCAATCACTTCAGGATCTGATCCCCATATCAAATGTGCAGCCTGTAGGTTCCCTTCTTGCGTCAAATGCTTACCATCGAAGAAAAGATAATCTTCAGGGTTAGCGCATACATTGTTAGTCGAGCAACTGCTTCCATTGACAGAGCCAGTTCCACAACAAGCAGCTATTCCCGTCTCAAATGCTTCATCAACAAAATGATAAATGTCACAACTATTATTTTTTTTCTTTTGTCAAAGATCATATATGGTTAGAATTTTGATTGACAATGACTTACTGTAAGTCTTGGACTTGATAACTCTGTTCTGGATGGAGCTGAAGAAGTCGTAGAACGAGTACTGGAAACCATTTAGTTGTCGTGAAAGTTCAACCAAGAGATGCAACAGCTTCTTGTTATGCAAAGCCGCCATTTCTGAAGGCAATCTCACGCATTCCTGAACATTTCCGTTTGCTTGTTTCACGGACGGTAAGCAACCTAACGGTGCCAAGTTCTGGAACGCGAATTTTCTACCTCCAGACCCGTAAATCACCTGAAAAGTCGGTACATGATTGAATTAACCGAAAATATAATTAAATATTTGTAGCTTCTTGATTCTTTTTTTACCTTTAGTTCTGCTTCTATCGAAGTGATGACTCGATCCACAAAAGCTTCTTTCTGATCATCAGATGGATTCGGATTGTTCTTGGCATAGTTTAAGTAATCATCAGAGCCAATGTAGAACAAGTATATAGCTTCCGAACGTGCTTGAGTTGTCCACTTGTTCTTGTTTTCAGAGAACTTTATCACTTGTTGTGACAGAGTCAACTGTAAAAACAAAAAGCAAAGAAATCATATAAAGATCTAGTTAACCAAAAATCTTTCAAGGGTTGACCTAATTTCTACCATACTTTATATATACATCTCTTTTTGTTAGAGCTCTTTCATCACAAGTTTCAGATTGTTTCCAACTGAAATTGAGAATTGCAATATGGATCAACAAGAAAAAAACTCAAATTCTAAATTTGGCTACAAATTCCAAAGGAAGAACATGAGTTTTATTTTATTTTTCGGTGTAAGTTCCTGGCTAGCCCATAATCTCCTTTAGATCTGGAGTTAGCTTTTAAATTTTTAAATTAAAGAAAAATCTTACATACGAAAAGATATTTGAACTTAACGACTACATAAACTGCTTATTTGCCAAATAAGCATAAAAAGAAAATTAGAGTTGTAAAAAAATGATAGAGAGAAATAGAAAGAGAAAATAAGAGGAAATGATTAATTTTGAATTTAACGATTACATAAAGAACTTCTTTGCCAAATAACCATAAAAAGAAAATTAGAGTTGTAAAAAAGGGTAGCGAGTGATAGAAAAAGAATGTAAGAAAGAACGACTATTTTTGAGTAGTTAGTGAATTTGTGTGTTTTTTTAATTCTTTTACCCAATAGTTAGCTTTTAAAAAGTCCGATTTAATGATTAACTTTCCGTATTAAAGAGTTTTGAAAAGAAACACAATTTGATTTTGATGATAAATGGAAAAAGCTTACTGTTTCCGGTGGGGAGCCAAGAACGGTGGCGTCGGCGATGGCAAAGTTAGCTCCATGAGAGAAATCCGCCGTGCCACCGAGAATCGGAGGGATTTGAGGAATACCCATGAAACTAGCTGCTCAGAACAAATGATAGATAAGCCACAAAAAAAAAATGATAGATATCAGATTATATCATATTCAAAAAAGATATAATTACCGAGATAGTCGGGAACAATACGACCATCGGACCACCGTCCCGTAGCCTCTCCTACAGTAACTCCATACGGAGGAAAGCTAGCGTCAACACGATTCGAAGAGATAAACTGTTTGTTGCCGGCGTCGTAAAGACCATCGCCGAAGACAAAGAACGTTTGTGCTAAGGAAACGGTGGGGAAGTGAAGAAGAAGAAGAAATGAGAAGAAGGAGAGACATAAGAGGTGAGGTTTGGGATTCGCCATTGAGAAACCAAAGCGATGTGTTGTTGTTTGGTCCGAGTTTTCTTTCGAGGTGCTTAATTAGTTTGCTAGTTAAAGTTGTGGTCGGCCACGTTGCCAACGTTTGCATTTGTTCTTCGTTAGTTCAGTAGAGGTGGTATTTAAAAACTATTTAATGCATGTTCTTCTTCAGTTCACCTCCATCCATGCGGAGTTGTGGACATTTAAATATTTGCACGTGGTAACTACGTCGTTATATTTTATCAAAAACAACTACGTCGTTATTTCTTAAAGCATTTTTTGTTGGTCAAAAGCTTTCATCATCTAAATGTGGTTACCGAATACCGACAACCTAGCTAAGCAGGCCTTACGGGCCTTTTCTTCTTTGTATTGAACCTTGGGGATTGAGCCATTGGGCTTTATCCCCTTCAAGTTTAATGAATTATCTGTGACAAAAAAAAAAAGCTTTCATCATCTGTTTCTGTAAAAACATTGAGAAAATAATAATTTTTACTGAAACACTTTATCAGAAATAATGAAGTACATGAAAATATAAAATATATTCAGGTACTTATAGTTATAATTTATAATTAATTAATAGAAAAATGTGATATAGACATGGAAACGTTGTTGCCAAAAAAAAAAAAGAGACATGGAAACCTTTGTATTTAGGACGAGTTGGGTTGTTGTTGTCTCTTCTTGTTAATTAAAGAAGTTTTTGCAACATTGGTAAAAAACAGTAAATGGTACAAATCTTAACATTTACCAAAAAAATGTGATCATGTTGGGTTTAGACCCAAAATAGCTCTGATAAGATATTTATAGATTTATATGTGTCAATCTCAACTTGATGCTTTTATATCTATTATATTAAAATAGAAATCATGACTCACTTCATGTGTGATTTTTTATTTTGGACCATCTTTAGAAATTTTATAAAATTTTACATAACATCATTATAATATATTTTCATATCTTTAATTTTTATTTGAAATACCAAATAAATAGTTTTAAGAAAATTCTAACAAAATCTTTTAAATATCTTTTAGAATATTTTCAAGATATAGTTTCAAAAATTATTTGATTAAAATTTTAATTATCAGAAAATATAATTCAAATATTAATTCATTTTTATTTATAAACACAAAATTAAAATTATGAAAAATAATTTTAACAATATCCAAAAAATGTATTATGTAGGTCCAACTTAATTTATCTTTTTATATATATTTTAAATTTAGAAATAAAACAAAATATATAAATTAGTAATGTTACATAATATTGTTTTAATTTTTTTTAATAAAAATACAAATTTAGAAATTATATTAATAATATTATAAGCCACAAAAATATTATTTTAAAATTGGATAGTAACAGAATCAAATTATATTTATTTATTGATAAATTTTACACTTTCCGTTTCTTAATATATGATATTTTGGATCACTCCAAAAAGATTAAGAAATTTAAATTTTTTTAGAAAAGTATTTTTAAAGATATAATTTTAAAATCATTCAACCAATTATTAAAAAAACAGTAAAACTTTATTGGTTGAATAATTTCCAATAAATTTAAAAGTAACCTTAAAATTTCAAAAGATATCTTACAATTTCAAAACATCTTATATCTTGAAACAAAACAAATCTTTTAAAACATCATCTAATTTGAAACGGAAGAAATATTATATAATTTTAAATATTTTGGTCTTAAAATACCCGTACGGTTGTGCGGGTCGAGATCTAGTATAGTTTAAGTGACATTTAGACAAGACCTTTTAACCACATATCACTACAAGATAAAACAGATAAGAATAACTACTAGTTTATAATAGTAATAAAAAAATACACATATATATATATATATATATATTGAAAAACATCATACATTTCGTCCACTTATAGTTTATTTTAATAGATTAAATTAAAACAAATTTAACAGTATTTATCTGGTTTGTCGACATTTTCTTTCTTTCTTTTTTAACTAGTAGCTGATGTAGAAAAAAAATGGCTCAAGCAAAAACTATTGTTTTTTTAAATATATGTATATATTAGATCAATTATTATAAATAAAAATAATTGTCTATGAAAAAATAACAACTAAAAATAATTCTATTCTTTAAAATAATTATATTATTTTAAAATAATTTAGAATGTATGTTATGTGTTAGAAATGTAATTATTTAGTTCTATTAATTTTTTTTTTGTTTCAAAGATTTTTTTATAACCGTATACTAAAAAGAAATTTTGTTAATATAGGATGAAATTAGGCAGTTGTCGTTCTAATAACACTTTTTAACCTAATAAATGTCCTAATAATACTATACTAATTAATTCTCTTGTACCCTCAATTATTTAGTTTAAGTTAATTATGAAACTAAATAAATATACAAACAAATAAAAATCTATTATGTTTTTAACTTTTAGTTTTTCCCGTTCCAATTCTCTTCTTTTAAATTTTAACCTTCTACTATGAAAACTTCAGTTCTCACCAGTCCCCAGCCTTGCTTTATCCTTCCTCATCATCCTCTCTACGTTTTTTTTTTTCTCTCGTCCTTTTTCCATGGCCATCGACCACCGTTCTTCATCTTCCTCTGTAGTTTTGATGTGGCGATTCTTCTCCGGTCTCACGGCCGCCAACATCTCCTCTTTAACCACACGTTCCACATGTTCTCCTCTTTAACCAATATAGAAATGTCAACCCGTATGGTATTGTCAATTTCCAGGGGATTTCTTTTCAATTTTAAAAATTGTTTGCATGTAGTTTTATTAGTTCTTTTAAAATATTAATCATTGCATTTTTAATATTGATTAGAGTCGTAATTCATAAAAGATGTATTGGTTTTCTATGAGTGTTTATACAATAGCGAGGATGTCCCCAATGGTGGTATCCAAGAAACTTCAGCAGTGGGTCCTCTTCTAAAATCGGAATAGAAGAGATGGTGGTACAAGAACTCTTAACATTTTTTTTTTGACCTGCGAACAGCTCTTCACTAATCAAACTCTATAATTTGTATGTTTCTAATCATTGTAGTATTGTTATTGTTGGCAAATGTACCTAACACAATAGATTTGTGGTTATCTTCTCAATATATATATCCCGTTGCATTCTTCTTTATGTGATAGCTTCAGTTTCTCAGCTTCAAACTAGCTAAAGTTCGTTACGACTTACGACGGAAAAATGCACTTTTATAGCATTCTGCAAACGAGCCTTGCTGGCTAGAAGAAACTGTCAGAAACATAAACAGTGCTCACATGAATTTAATATTAGATGATAAGTATTATCCTATTGTATAGTTAGAATATGCTATGTAAGTTAGAATACTTATCATCTAATATTTAATTTCTTGTTCTTCCTTGTCGTATATACTCTTAATCATTTATCTCTTATATTTTGGGATTTCAGTAACTGACTAGCTAGAAAACAGTTTCTACAGAACGTAGAATATGCAGACTTTAGTTAGAAATTATATACAATCTAAGGTAGAATTTTTAGGATAAGTACAAATCACAATATTCTTCTTCAGGTAGAATCTTAACGATTGGTAGAACGTATATGACAGTTTTGAGATTTGAGAAAAGCTCAATAACAATATGATGAAGTTCAATTCCATTATGTTTTGTTTCTTATCTTTGTTCAACTATTTATCAGTCAATGCATGTCTTGTCCTTGGTGATTGATTTGCATCTGTATTTTGGAATAACAATGTTTGATTGATTTGCATCTGTATTTTGGAATAACAATGTTTTGGTAAAATGGTTACATCTCCTATCCTAATATCGGAGCTAGTGTTAACTACTTAGTGGACTTAATAGTTTAGTGAATTTCCGATGGTCTGATGATAACGGTGTTGAATTTTTTAAATTTTATTTGAGGCAGGGATGACGATATTATGTACTGAAGTAACAACTTCTCATAAGTACATTACTAGTAGAAGAATTATAACAAAGTTTAAACTAATTAGAAAATTTAATTGTTATCACGCAAATGTTTGCAAATTCTAAGATAATTACAGTTGGAAAAGTTTAGTGGAATCTGCAGTTAAAAAATCATATTCCGCGCAAATCTGAAAATTTAACAAGGGAAACAGCTTTAGTTATAACTTATAAGTGTGTTACAAAAAAAAAAAAATTATAAGAGAAAAAGTATATGTTGAACGCTATAATTTTATAAGAATTTACTAAGTTTAAAACTACAGCTTGTGTCATAAATTTAAAAATCATTTTATGGTTGAATATTATTATGTAGTTCAATCTAGATAGTCCTTATCTTAGTGAAATTTATTTTGGACACTAGACGCCACATGTACGTAGAAAACGACATCTCAAATGATGTCATAGAAATATTATCACAAAACGTTCATCATTATTTATCAACTTAGTGAAAGCTCCCAATACGACAGGGAATATGAAAATCCATCACAGCAATAGCATTACAATAATGATTTTGAAAATCAATATTATTTATTATTTTTGAACAACAAGATTAGATAAGCTCTATATCAATCCCGTCTATATTGTCATAGACATACATCACGATGCTAATTAAGTTCAAATAAAGCTTTGAGATTATAAGGTCCAGTGACATTAGACGGTCCGCTCCAGATCAGCTCTGCGATTTGTCGATGAGCCTTCTCCGTCAAATGAGTGGAATCGAAAAACAAATAATCGGTAACGTTTTCGCATAACTCGAAACTTTGTCCCATACGGTTCCCACAAGTATTGATTCCCCTTAATGGTCCGCTTCCACAACATCCCTTCTTCCCTTCCTTAAAACCTTCAAAAACAAAACAAACAAACAATGCACAAAACTTTCAAAAGCTACTAAAGGTTAATGTCTTATATAGATGTAATCACCAGGTACTTTTAGTTACCATATTTCGAAGGATTGTTGATTCTTTCTAATAAAGAAGTGTGATAGTCATGAAGGGCGTATCTGAAACCGGATAGTTCACGTTGAAGCCGTCTTAGAGCATCCGCAAACTTCTTGTTGTGTAAATCAATGAGCTCGGTCACTGGGTTGAAACAAGATCCTATGTTTGTTCTGTTCAAGATCGATGCGCCTGGTGCACAGTCGTATGCTCCCACATTCAAGAACCCAAACTTCCTTCCTCCCATTTTATACACTTGCTGAGAACCATAACATATATTATCTCATTTTTAGTCCTAAGGG